AAAATCCTTCGGAATAGAGCAATTTCAGGAATAGCCTGAAACTCCGTCTTCTCACTGCTAAGCCCCGCCTTCTTCCCAAAAGTAGCCCAAAATTTCTGTTGCTAAGTGAGATAGTTGTTAAGTGAATGTTGCTTCATTTTACAAATTTTTTCCCCACAGTTGATAAGTGAATCACTGCAGTTATAAAGTTAGCAATATGGTTATTAAATGAATCTGGCTTGTCCATTGACTTTGCTTGTGAGAAAAGGTCTCAAAAGGTGATCTCATGACCCTGGACACTGCAAGCATCATAAATATGAGTCATTTGCCAAGTGCCTGAATTTTGATCACATGATCATGAGGATGCTTCAATGGTTGTAAATGAAAAACAGTCATAAATCATATTTTTCAGTGCTGTTGTAACTTTGAACAGTCATTGAACAAACTGTTGTAAGTTGAGGACAAACTGAAGAGACTAGGATTTTGGTGAATATACATAACCAGTATATGGGTCAGGTTGTTGTGCATGCCCCTGTCTTCCACTTTCTTCAGTAAATATCAAGAAATCTAAGATTGAATAGTATGTACTATTTTCTAATTGTAGGAATGAATTACCCTTGGTATTATTTGTTCATGTCATATTGAGAGTTTCTCATGTGTAGAGTAAGTGTTATCAGTTCATATTATTTCTTTTTTATTTTCAGTTGCTAGGAAACAAAGCATTATACATATAAAGTAGTCAGGAAGAATATGAAATGAATATCTTAATTGTATGGCACTTACTACAAGACTATCTTGAGAATTTTTGCCTTTCACACAACTATGTTTTATCTTCATGATCTGGCTGTTTAATTATTGTCATTCATCATTATCAAAATTCCTTGGTGTTTACATTGTTCTTGTAATATTTATGAGTGAACCAAATAAGTCATCATCAATATATATGATGCTCTAGGAAATATCAAGTAATGAAATTCATACAGTATAGAATTCCAAATATCAAAATCTGTTTTAGTGTATCTATTATAGTTATATATTTTAAAAATTAATTGGTAATAATAAAACACAAGATTCCATTTTAAGAAGGTTTCTTATCAAACTAGGATTTTTTTAAAACTCAATTAAAATATACATAGAAACAATGCAAGTGATACAAAGCAAGTAATTCATAATTTTGGTTAGTGGTGTCTGGCCATAGCCTTTTGAAGCATTACTAAATAAATCATGAAATAGATTAAATAGTAATACTTGCAAAACTGTGATAACTGAAAGGACAACAGTATTTTCCAATATGACAGAACATAGTAATAGACAAAAGCTAATTCAGCCTCTTGTTATCCTGACATTTGCATTAATGACAAATATTACCTCTTCAAACCTGGTTGACATTTCTTACTGTAACATTTATTTTCAGTGGCACTGAAGAGGCAATTTTAATTTTTCCTAACATAATTTAAATGCAAATATTAACTCATCACATGAAGGGATGAGTACATACTTGTGTAATCATATACAATATGAATCATGAAAAAAACAAAAACAAAACAAAAATGACTACCACCTCCTGAAAGCTATTTTGTTTTAAGCTGAAAACAAACAGTTTGTATCTTATTCTTGCTGTAGTGTTTATGCTTACTTACTAATGTTCTCTGGAATTGCAGGTCAACTGATTATGGGACAACATATGAAAAGATGAATGATAAAGTGGGCCTGAAGACCATTTTGAGCTACCTTTATGTCTGCCCAACAAATAAGCGTAAGGTAAATTAAAAAATATGGTTGCTTTTATGTCATATTTGACTTGATTTGTTAGTTATTATGTACATAGCTGTGTTTGTATATATCCTACAGAAATAAAAACAAGCGGTTTAGCCTTTAAATTATATTGGGCCTTTCCTTTTTAACTTAATTGCATATGGATGAATGGTAATCTTCCATCTAGAAAGTTTCTTGATAAATGGAGATCTTTCATCTAGAAAAGGATTGTAATATAAAAGGCTTTACTAAATTTGAGATGTGCTTAGATGACAGCTCTCTGGAATCTTAGCTTACCTTTCACTTTCACTTTATTAGGATTTGTATGCCGCCCACTCTCGAGAGACTCAGGGCGGCTTACAGATAAACGGGGAGGGGGAACATATAAAAATTAAAAGGAACATACATTAAAATTGCACAACTTTCATATAGCTTAGAATGGGGCTGGATAAATCAACAGCCCCAGGCCTGCCAGAACAGCCAGGTCTTAATCGCTTTGCGGAAGGTCGGCAGAGTAGTAAGGGTCCGGATCTCCACGGGGAGATCGTTCCATAGGGCCAGAGCAGCTACAGAAAAGGCCCTCCCCCGGGGAGTCGCCAGCCAACATTGATCAGCAGATGGAATCCGGAGGAGGCCTAATCTGTGTGATCTTATTGGTCTCTGGGAGATAAATGGCAGGAGGCGGTCTCTCAGGTAGCCAGGTCCTAAACCATGTAGGGCTTTAAAAGTAATGACTAAAGACTGTCAATTCCCATTTGTGTGTGCTGGTGGACATTCTCGGAAGATTGATTTGAAATGTAAAACAAAACCGGGTGAATTGTTCACTTCATACACCTATTTAGTCAATTATTTATATCTTTGCTCTATTTTTGTAGGCACGGTACATTTATTTAATATTGATTCTTACTTTTATTTATTTATTTACTTATTTATTACTTTATTTCTTTCAACTATATACAATTATACAATTAACCTTTAAATTATGTAGCCTTTTAAGTCATAATCACTCTTTTTATACTATCCTACTATATATTT